GTAGTAGTAGAAGTTGTAGTTGTAGTAGTGGGAGTTGTGGGTTGTGCTAAGGTCTGGAAAATCTGAAAGAATCAAAATCAAATATTGTGTTAATTGCTGTTTAACCCTTCTTGATCATCAGTCATACTTTAATATCAATGAGCATGAGCACTTGGACTTTCAAACAGAGAGAGAACACAATTGCGCTATGCGTAACTAAAAGTAGTAAAATCAATAAAAGATGATAAGATTAATGCTGATGGCATTAAATCAAATGAAAAACCACCACTCATCACAGGATACAGCGGACACTTTATTGCATTTTTGTCACCTGGAACAAGGAGATCATGCACATGGCTGATGAGAGGATATTTGCTATCATTACAGAATTTTTCCAGTAAAGTCATCCAGGTCCAGAGACCAGACAAAAGCTCCTCCAAAGTTGTTTGTTTTCAGGTAGCTGACCTGAGAGGATGAAGAAAAAAACAACCAGCTGAAATGATTTAACCATCATTCCATCAACTATCCATCAACTATCATTCATTTTGCAAAGTTATTATGGAATTAAACAGATGATTAACCTTTGTTTCAAAGCTTTCTTTGTTATCAAATCCAACCCACTGATTTTCTGTGAGGGCGTATGGAACTTTCTGATCAGTAATCAGCTGGATTAGAGCCCCTTCAATATAAAGACAAGTCTGAAAGGAAGGGGGAAACAATATTTTAGAGCTAATGAAATTTGTCACACTACGCAGTGAAAGCACATTAGTGTACATTATTAATTAAAATATATGTACACAGCATAATATATAATAATACCTCATAATAGGCCCAGAATCCATCTCTCCATCACTGATGTTGAGCACCAGCCAACGGCACTGGGTGAAGAAGGTTTGCTAGCACTTGGTGAAGATGGATTTCTGGGCCTATTATGAGGTATTATTATTTATTATGCTGTTGTAACATATATTTTAATTAAATAATGTACACTAATGGTTCAGCTGCGTAGTGGGGGGGGGGTTGGAAAAAAAAAAAACAAATTTTTCCAAAATTAGCTCGTAAATATATTGTTTCCCCCTTCTTTCAGACTTGTCTTTCATATTGAAGGGCTCTAATCCAGCTGATTTTACTGATCAGAAAGTTCCATACGCCCTCACAGAAAATCAGTGGGTTGGATTTGATAACAAAGAAAAGCTTTGAAACAAAGGTAATCATCTGTTTTAATTCCATAATAACTTGGCAAATGGAATGATTAGTTGATGGATTAGTTGATGGAATGATGGTTAAATCATTTCAGGCTGGTGTGTTTTTTTCTTCATCCTCTCAGGTCAGCTACCTGAAAACAAACAACTTTTGGAGGAAGCTTTTGTCTGGTCTCTGGACCTGGATGACTTTAACCTGAAAATTCTGGTAATGATAGCAATATATCCTCTCATCAGCCATGTGCATGATACTCCTTGATTCAGGTGACAAAAATGCAATAAGTGGTCCGCTGTATCTGTGATGAGGTGGTGGTTTTCATTTGATTTAATGCCATCAGCATTAATCTTATCATCTTTTTATTGATTTTAACTACTTTTTAAGTTACCGCATAGCGCAATTGTGTTTTCTCTTCGTTGAAAGTCCAAGTGCTCATGCTCATGTGATATTAAAGTATGACATGATGATCAGGAAGGGTTAAACAGCAAATTACACAATATTGATTTTGAAATTTCTTTCAGATTTTCCAGACCTTAGCACAACCACACTCCGCACTATAGACTACAACTCTACTACGGTAACAATGACAACTCCCACTACCACAACTCGCCACCATGGAGGTTACCATAACCACAACTCCCAGCTACTACAACGCACAACTCCCACTACTACAACTACAACTCCACCAACATAACCACAACTCCCACTACTACAACTACAACTCCCACTACTTCAACTACACTCCCACTACAATCCCACTAACTTCACCCACAAGCTGCCTACAACCTCACGCACACAACTCCCCACTACCAATAACCACAACTCCCACTAGCAACTCACGACCACCACAACTCCCACTACAACTACCACCACAACTCCACTCTACAACTACTACGCTACATCAGCGCCGGAAAGTCCCACTCGGGACCACAAGCTCCCACTACTTCACCACAACTCCCAACCATCACAAAGAACAAAAAACATCCCACTACTCAACCACAACTCCCACTACAAACTCCCACCACTTCAAACCACAACTCCCACTACAACTCCCACCACCACAAAATCCAACTATACTACTCCCACTACCATAACCACAAACTCCCACTACTCCAACTCCCACTACATAAACACAACTCCACTACAACTCCTGCACCCCCCACAATCCCACAAGGAACAAAATAAAAAACAGAAAGGAAAAATAAAGAATCTCCCATACTACAACCACAACTCCCCACTACAACTCTCACCACCACTAATCCCACTACCAAACTACATCAAAAATACATTCCCACTACAAGTCCCACACCACTACTCCTACTACACAACTACAACTCCCACCACCACATT